GGGAAGCAGAATCTCCGATGTAAATGCCTGAGCAGTTTAATGAGCTGCTGCTGCTGACTCTCTAAAATGTTAGACAAATGATTCTGTAAGGAGAAGTGAGCCGCGGCTGGGAGCGTTCCGGCAAGATCGCAAAGATAAGACGATCGGGGAGTTAGATAGGCTAATTGCCTGAAGCGGCCGTCTCAGGCTGCCTGCGAAGTGGCAGGCTCCGCCAGTCACAAAGGGCTGCTCTCAACTGATCGGGGGGATAACCTAATAGAGCCACAAGCAAGAGCAAACCTGAATCTTGACTAGCTGAATCAGAAACCGTTCCAGTCAGGGAGTGCGCAATCTCTTACCACGAAGGCTGAGCTAAAACTGGGGGACGCTGGGGAGGTGTCCCATGGAGGAGGAGGAACGTCCCGGAGTTTTAAGCCCAGCATTTCCAGAAGAGACTGAAGCACCCCCCACTTCTGGATGCTCTGAACAGCTCATGGGAGAAAAGATTACACTGCTGTTAATGGTTAAGTGTCTGAGGATTCAACACCACTGACAATGCTACTATCCTTCAAAGCTACCTTGATTATGTGTCTGAATGGTCAAACATCTGGCAACTCCAAATCTCGACCAACAAATGCTCTGTCCTACACATTGGTAAAAAAAAAAAATCAGTACACCAAATACAAACTAGGCGGATATGACCTCATTGATGATCCTCACTCTGTCAAGGACCTTGGAGTTCTCATATCAAATGACCTAAGCGCCAGACCTCACTGTAACAGCATTGCCAAAAAGGCATTAAGAGTTGTAAATCTAATCTTACGAAGCTTCTCCTCCGGAAATATCGAATTGCTAACTAGAGCATTAAAAACTTTTGCCAGACCAATACTCAAATACAATTCATCAGTCTGGAATCCACACTGTATATCGGACATTAATACAATTGAGTGAGTCCAGAAGTATTTCACAAGAAGAGTGCTACACTCCTCTGCTTGCAACAGAATACCCTATATCACCAGGCTTGAGATTTTGGGCTTGGACAACCTTGAACTACGCTGCCTATGGTTAGACTTAAGCGTAGCACACAAAATTATCTGCTACAATGTCCTACCAGTCAATGACTACTTCAGTCATACTATTTCCTGTATTCTTACTCATGTTTATACTTATATCTATTATCTTGTCAGAGATTGACAAATAAAATAAATAAATAAAATAAAATAAAAAATGACATTCTCAAGGTGAAAAATGGGTCAGGATTGACCCAATGAGCCTGGAGGATGGATGGAGAAGAGAGTAGCTCAAATATACAGGGTTAAGGATTGATTCAACATGGGGGAAGTTATACAGAGTGACCTGAGTCTAGGAAGGGTTAGAGATGGGGGGGGTGAGGACCACTAAGTATTAGGGAAGAACATAAAGAAATGTTCTGTGCATTTTGGGTTGGATGAATGCTTATTTCAATTAGGCAATATACTGGGTTAGTTTCTTTGCCTTAGATACAAAAATCACAAGCAAAAAATGCTCAGCAATATTAGATCATGACTGAACCCAGCTACTGCCTACCCGAAGAGTTAAAAGAGCAGAAATTTATGCTATGCCCAGTCTGCTCATTGTACAAATATTTTAGTTGCCATTCTTCTGATATTGCCAGAGGTCAGTTAAATTAATTGTTTTTTCATTCATACCTCAATTATGTAGGACTTTTTTTTTAGAGAATTACATTTCATTTCAGCTGTTCTTAACACCAAAATCTACAATTAGCAAATTTATCATGTATTTTTATGCTGCGCAGGATAGCACAGAAATTAAATAGTTTACTATAGTTAGCTAAAGTTACTTGATAACTGGGCACCAACCGCTACAAGCTATCTAGCTTTGGAACTGAGGCAACGCCCAGCTCCCACTGTGTATTAATACAGAAGATGCTTTAATCATTATTCTGGCTTTGCATATCAATTCATTTTTATTTTACCTTAGATTTCCCAAGTTGCCATTCAGTTTTTGTACTATCATATAGATAGAGGAGGGCAGCACACTTTCCTTTTAAATCCTCAGGGAGAGTCAAATTCCTCATCAGGACTTCGTATCTATAGAAACAAACCAATGACATTATTTTTAATTGCTTTACTTCATTTTCCGTTCTTCATCTGCTCTTAAACAAATCAGATTGCTACCTTTTGTGAAAATCCTGAAATGGCCTCCGCACAGGAAAACCTGCTCTTCGTATCCGTACTGTTTCGAGCATACCGGAGTAGCACAACTGGTTCAAAACCACATTCTGATCAAACTGGTCAGGCATCTAAAATGTAACATAATCAGGTGTATTTCATTAGCTATAAAACTTGTGAATCTGTAAACAAGAGATTCAGGGTATGTCAAAGAGTGATACTAAACATATGACACGCATTAGTGCAGCTGCATTATTTTTAAGTATTAATTTCAATTAATGGAGTCATTCAGAGGGCAAAACAACACCCTCAACTCTTCTCAAGCTTTTTCCGGTGGATTGGGAAAACTTTCTGAAGCCAGTGCAACAGGGGTTAATAAAGAGGAGATACCAAAGAGACGTTTGGTGGTACAAATACCAATCTGCTCAGGTAATCTTAAGCCCTTTCTACTTAAGACTGATTATCTTTTTATAATTTATTCTGGGCTACAAATGCCCAAATTCATTCTCACACCCTCTCTCACTTCTTTTGTATCTCTCTGTGTACATATTCTATGTGAAGAACTTGTATGTGTAAAACTGATTTTGTTCAGAAATAATGAAGGAGTTACAACAAAACTTGCATGAGAAGTAACAACCTTGAAGTCTTTAAAAATGAGCATGCGGAAACAAGAATACAGGTTACAGCAGCAGTTGGAGCCAGGACTACCATTGCTAGGAAAAGTGATCATAAGGTATAAAGTTATTTGATCCCGTTGCTTAGCGCAGGCAAATCCTGAGGATCCCGGTTGCCAAAAACCAGACTATGGAGATCATTAAGCGAAAAGGGGTGGAACTCCCGAATAAGGAGCATGAAATGGTGGGGTTTTCTTCAGACATATATTATGGAATGCAGGTGAGATCGTGGGGGTTGGAGGAGGGTGGATGGAGGCCTCAGACTGGCTGGCAGAAACTTTGGCGGGGGGGGGAGAGGTGAGGCCATGAGAGGGTCAGTAAGGGGTGCAGGTGAGCTGGTGAGAGCTTTAGGTGGGTGAGATCTGAAGAAAAAGTGGTAGGAACAATATACAATAAACTTGCAATATTTCCTGATTGCTTCCCTTTGATCTTGCTTGCGGGAAACTGACAAAGGAAGGTTGCAAATGGTGATTGCGCACCACAGCTTGCAACAATGTCATAATTGTAAGACGAGTATCTGAAACGTGACCACATGTCCATAGGGGATGCTGTAACAGTTGGAAATCATGTATCAGTTGAACATCTTTTTTTTCAACGCAACCATAATAATTGTTGAACGAATGGGTGTAAAGCTATTTGTATTATACTTAAATATTAAAGACTACTTGTATTACTCTTGACGTACACAAAGGAGAGGGTTTTCTTCCTTGCTCATAATACTGAACCAGGGATGATCAACCAAGGAAATGGAGGGAAATTTAGAACATAAAACACATCATATAGTTAAATTGGGAATCTGCAGTTTGATATTGGGGTGGCCACTATCTTGAGCTGCTTTAAAACAAAAGCAGTCAACTCATGCCCCATTGGATCATCATTTCAGAGATATTTCCTGACTTAAATAGAGAAAAAGAATGATTAAGGGCAAAGAAGGAATGATATAGGAACATCTTGTGATTTCCTGCACCTTGACTGACCACCTTTTAGCAACTGATGGCAGGATTGGTCTGCCTGATTTCCAGTGGCCAATGGTGAGAACAGTCTATCAGATCTCTGGAGGGCTTGGTTGGAAGCAGTCTACTGATTTCCAGCAGGCAAAGAAAAGCTAGGGAAGGACCAATTTACTGAACCTCTGAGCAGCAGTGCAGTAGGACTGAAATGGCCATAACTGCTAAATTTCAAACCCGTAAGAGTCATGGATTTTGGATGCATTCTGTAAGTTAGACCATTTGAGGTATCTTGGTTCAAAAATTGCTGCCCTATGATGTACCATTTTGCACACTTGGAAGGTTATAAATAAACAGTCATTAACACTATAACCTAAAAATCATGAATTCGTTATTTACAATAAACACCAAAGAAGTTGATGCTATCCTTGTGAAAATTGTTTTTAAATTTGTTGAAAATATTTTGTAGACATGGGCAGAAATTCATAAAATAGAACTGAAATACTTCAAATGCTATTCCACTATTACACTTGAAGAAAAAAAAGGCTAAAATTTGTATGATCAGAGTACAGTACTGTCTTCATTCCCAAATTTAAGTAAAAGTTGCAATGTACAAGTGATGATGAGCACTAATATCAGCAACTTTTCACAGCACTTTTAAAGCATCTTGATCAATATACTTTAAACAGGCAAAAACCTAAGTTCATTAAGATATTTCTTATCACTCCTTTATGAAATAGATTCTATTTTTATTTTATATATCATGTCCAAGTAACACATTTGGAATACCCATGAAGTGCATAAAATGTTTTGTAGTACCATGAAATACATATAGTTATGTTAGGAAACAGAAAAATGCAAGTACTTTTATAAGTTTTTTTTTTTAAATAATGTAATACTATTTTCCCTTTTCTTTCCCCTAAAATAATTTTAACAGTCCACTAAGTTGGGAAGTCTGGATTGTATTTCACTCAATTAATTAAGATAAAGAATAAAAAAGGAAGAAATTTGTACTTAGTATTATTATTAGTAGACAGAAGTATATGCTAATACTTTATATTCAGGCAACAAAATATTAAATTTCTGCCTGGAAACAAAGCATGATAAATATCAAAATCTCATCTACAATACAAAAGATCTTAAAACAGAGTTAGCACCGAACATAGTTTTTCTCTGCTGCAAGTTTGCACCCTGTGCAAATACTTTTCTATGCCCAGTTTCTCAAAACATAAGAAACAACCGAAATCTTGCAACAACAAATAAATAAGTTATCACTCACCAACTCATAGGGGTTGTGGGTGCACTGCAGATTCATATTTCTCAGAGGCAAAATTCATATGGAAAGTAACTGCCACCCTGACCTTTTCCCTGCACTGCTAAAGACACTGAACAATAATGAACACTATTCCTAGTGCTTTAAAAAGTGCTCAGTTGCCATGACAACCCCTCCCTTTCTAAGGATAATTAGTATGGTGTGTCTGTCAGATCTGATTGGGAGGGCTGCACAGAAAAATATGCAAATGAGTGACACTAGGGCAAGTCACTCCTTTGCTGCGCGCTGCAGTAAGAGAGCTCTGTGCATCTCACAAAACAGGACTGAACCCTGGAACTATTTTGTTAAAAGCAATGTCTGTAGCACAAGAGCTAAACTGATACACACACAACTAAAAATTAAGTTGGAAATCAAAAGGCAATTTGTATTAGAAGGGTTGCAGGCTCCAATTTATCTCACTGGAACAAAACTATGCCCTTGAGTTTGAGACAAAACAAGGTCAATACAAATGAAACTTACCTTGCAGCGTTTCTCTTAGTAAATAGCATGCTATTGCTTCCGATTTATTCTCTGCTGCTTAGTGCTTACAATTCCTGAGAATAAATGCAACAGTTGTAGTGTGGTACAAAGTTGCAGTTCAATGTGCCATCTTTTAGAAAAGACTCAGAAGGAAGATTTCATCCACAGGATTTGGATTTCCTTCAAGTCAGACTTGATAGCAACTTTGGTATGTGTGTGGGTGTGAATGTTTACCCTTATTTATGGCATAATGATTCAGTTCAGTTGCCTGAATAATTTGAAGCCCTTCGCTTACACAGCTTTTTCTCCATTATGCTTTTACTTAGTATATGTGTGTTCATTATTGTGTACATTATTCTGAAATAAATGAATCTGGCTTGCATCAAAATAAGGACTTAAGTGATCTCTGGCACTATGTATTGGCTAGTAGTTTCACAAAGTATGCATCTCTAATCTAGCTCCATTGCTTTTTGCAGCCTCCTTTCCCCATCCTAATCTGTGTTGCTTTTACATGGTTCCTGAACCAATGCCAAGCCCAATAATCTGTGCAGAACTTTGGCAAGAATTTGTACTATAGCAGTCCATTAGCTGGGGGAGTGATTGACAAAGGGGAGTAGTCGAAAGATAGAGGGTCAGCCCAATCTGTTGGTGACATATGATTTCATACATCATTCCTGAAAAAGAATGGTGCACTAAACAGAAAAGAGATGTTTCGCCATATTCACTTTTGATTTCTCAAACCATAGTTTAGAGATCAATAGAAGCAGCCTGGAGTTTCTTTAACGTTCATGGTTGTCCAGAGTCACTAAAAAATCAGATTATGAATTTTATTATTCATTATCATCAGACTTCCTGAAAAATTCTATGTCCTGAATTGCAGCTTCAGTGACATTTTGCACATATAAGTATCATCTGATTTTGTATAGTTTAATAACTTCCACCATAACGGAAGATCTGACTACAGGTGGACTAAGTTTAGTGAACACAATCATGACTGGCAACATGATTGTTAAGACGAGTGGGCACTAAGCGGTGTGCTCATGATCTTACTTCAACTTTTCGTTGTTTTACTGACCTGTAAAGGTTGTAAATGGGAGAATCGTCATAATTGCATACAGTTGCTAAACAAGGCAGTCACTAAATGAGGACAATCTGTATATGCTGAAAAGCATCTTGTGTGCAAAGAATGTGGAAGTTCTGGCTATAGAATTTGGATTTCCGTGAATCTAGGTGCAAATCACCATTTGTACATGCATTTTTTAAAGAATGGAGGTTGGATGCATCTTTCACACTTCATTTTAATGAAAAATTTCATTAAAGGAATATAGCATTAGCCTATCATTCATTCTGAAGTTAAACTTAACAGGATTGTGCAATGTTCTGGAAATAATCTGAAATGACATTTTGAAGCATCTTGGAACACAAATGCAGCATTTATCAATAACCCTTTAAAGTAGACAGAACTTTGATGAGGATCACATAACTGCTCTTTGACCCAAAGAAAATTATGTAGCTGCTTTAGAGGTGCTAAATTCATAGGTATGGGTTCTGTGCACTCCAAAGCAAAAATTGAAAATTGAATCCTAAACACTGCACTATTCTATAAATTAAACTTGCATGCTTGAAGCCAAAAGTAATTTCTTACCACAAGCCCTAATGATAGTGGGATAACCAGTTCTCTCACAGTACAATCATATGCATTCAGAATGGTAGTTTCA